TCGGTTTGCTTTGCAATTTGTCTATTATTCACGGTCAACTTCCACTCAAGTTCATAATGTATGTAACGGTGTTTGTCATATTGCGGGTGGTTTGGGTTCCAGTTAGCCAACGGTACAAATAGCAGTGACCCCGGGNAAGGTCGTTTGTTACATCCCTGGCTCGATATAGATGGGCTCCGCCGGCGCGTGGGAGTCGGGATATTGCAAAGTTGAGAAGGTATCTCATTGTCAGTAAACCATTCATTCACGCAGTCGTCGTCACTCATCGTATGTAATGAAGAAAGAGGACGCCAGGAACGATCAAGCCACGTTTGGGCCTGAGGTGTAGGCTGGCGGAGAAGAAGACCGACCCCACTTATAGTCCGTTAATTTTTGAGGCATGTATCTGGACTGGGCTTATTTTGTATTCATTGACTCTATCTGCACTGTCTACCTTGGCCAAAGTTGCGAAATAGACTATACCTTTTAGTACATGAAACTACTTTTGAATACATCGATTAAACGAGTCTTAGAAAGTATATATAAGTGTTTTGAAGTACTCATGGTTCGTGCTTAACTATTTTGAGTGTGTGACATAGGACGCCCATTCCGCTCCTAACTGTACTAGGAAAAGTTCAGACCTAAGACCAATAATAGGCCGCTTTATAACGTTATACCTCAGTTTTAATTAAATTATACTTTAGAAACAGACTTTATAAAGCCTGATGACTTTCGAGAAGATCTCTTGAATATAATTACTAAAATTGAAAATTTTCGATGTCTAGGCATACCAGCTGCAATGGGGGGCCGTTTAACACTTAGAGATAAGGGAAACTCTTGCTTTGATGTTTTGCCTATGGGGCCAATGAGGATTTGGTACTCCGCGGTTATTAAAGCTGTTCACGGAACCATAGCTGCACAAGATTGGATGGAATTCTATATATCTATCCTCTCATGCTATCTAACGCGACTTAAAGCATAAAAATCCCTGAATGGAAAGCTTGCGGTACTGGATCCTGTGCCTCTATATAACGAGTTGCAAGATATCAAGAGTAATAGAACGGCCTCTGGCGATAGCCTCGCAAGGCGCGCACGACATACTGTCAAAAGCCTTAGCATTGTGGAACTTGAACATGGGATTTGGTCCAGATATACGCCTGTTATAGGTCGGGCAGAACAATGGGGAAATGAGGGGAAGTGGTGCCGGTGTGAAAAATGGGCATATCCAATTCTAAATGCTGACAATTAGTCATACCTAAATAAGGAATTTTTTTTTTTTAAAAAAAAAAAATAAAAAAAAAAATAAAAAAAAAATTGCGCTCTTAGTTAAAAAAAGCACACTCGAAGGGTAATAAAATATAATTATATAATATACAGTAAAAGGCGGAATTAGTGTCGCCCTTTGTTAAGTTAATTAACTTAGTAACGGGTGCAGCAAAAGTGGCTCCTTGCTATCTATTGTACAGCCAGGTACTGGCGCCGCGGGGCCTAGCAGCGGCCAGTACTGGCTGTGAGACCCACTGTAGCCTGATTCAGCAAGAATCGGCTCTTTGTCCCTTGTTATGTTCATTAGGGGGGTACATAAGGTACATGTTAAATGCTGCCTGGTGGCCTCTTGTAGACTAAAGCTGCCCCTCCTAAAATAATTAACTAGGGACACTAATTCCGCCTTTCACTGTATAGTGTCCTTAAACTTTTTAGTTAATTATTTTAAAAGAGGCAGCTTTAGTCTACAAGAGGCCACCAGGCAGCATTTAATATATACTTTAATATACAGTACAGTACTGTACATACAATTATAATGTCCAGTCTTGACTCTCTGTCCCACAACACTTATTGTCAATAACGAGACAATGCAATCTTACGGGCATGATGGGACCACAAATGGTCACTTAACATCAAATTTGGCATTCCTTGGTAGACCAGTGAGTGACGAATCACGTATAAGGTCATGCAGTCTCAGGTGAAGAATACTCGTCTCTAATTGGTGTAGAACATTATCAAGAGATGCCAATCAGAATGAGAACGTGGTTACTACGGCTTATGTACCGGTATTATGTACTTAAAAATGATATTTATAGCTCCTATGTCTCAAAACCGAGATCTCTGTGTAATTCGATCGAGAAGATTTGGACTCAAATCCTCTTTCTTTTCCCACCTCCTATCTTCTTGTCCCCGTATGACCAATACAGAAAATATTCAATATTACCATCTTCAGTCTTTCGAGACGCCTGGACGATCACCCCTTCACCGAATTCTTTTCAAATTCTTTAATTAGCAGCGAAGGGATATATTTCCTTGGTTCCCATGACTTTGAATTATCTTCAGCCTACTGAATAAGATATCTGCCCGATTTTCTTTCGAGTATACTCAGAACAGGGTTGTTTCATGTACCTCGTAGCAAAGTAGCGTGGTTTGATACTCGTCTGTTGCCACCTTGGGAATTTCTCCGCACATAGCGAGAAGATCTTTGCCCATGAAAATAATATGCATAGGAGTACACTTAACAGAGTTTACTTAAAAAGGACGCCCTTTTCGCTCCAAACTGTAGACAATGTCTCTTTTTATATTTTCAAGTTCTCATAGCTATCCTTGACCTGTTACTAAAAAGGGGTGCGAATGTATTAATTCCTCTTTAGACAGCTTCAGCCATGATATCTTTTTCGTTAATTATTCCATTCTAATGAACTCGTTTCGTATACACTTAATTTGCCTTCCTTGAATGGGAAATTACTAAATGAGGCAGCTGAGATAATTTTACGTCCCATTGCTACCCAGACCGAATACGTCTAATGTCGCAGCTCCAGTTTGCAAATTAACAACTGTAAGCTATGCCATTTGTTTTGAGCCTAGATACTCAGCATCCCAATATTATAAGTTCCATAGAGAGGTTAAGATTACACTCAACCATCTACCATCTACCATCACTGGGTATATAAGGCTGGCTCCCTTCCACCTAGAAGAAAATCTCTTCTTTTCTTTTTATTATATTTACACTTCCTCTCGCCGCTGACAAATGTATTAAAAAATTACTATTAAACCTATTATTTCGATAAGTAGCATCCTTTAACAAGGCTTTATAGTATACTTTACAGGTAGGGGAGGAAGCTAGGATAAATAGTTATACTAGGCAAGGCCCAGCTGCCTAAGATATAAAGAGGATTAGATTATTTTTACTAAATAGGAAACAACACAAGCTCACTATGTAAAATGGCCTCTAGGTTTATGTTACATAGTGGTTAGGTTAAAAAATTTTATAGGCAATATATGACCTATATCTATGTAGTAATAAGCTCTGTATTACATAGTAAGTAAAGTAAAAGTTAGAGATATATTCCAATTTGAATTTTACGTTCACATCTGCCTATTTGATTTATATATATATAAGCATAAGAAGTAAAAATTTTTCCGTTGGTTTCTCTGGTAATTTCTATGGATTTTGGTCTTGGATTGTAATAGTTTGTATTGTTTTGCGCATAAATAGCTTCCTCTTTTCAAGAAAACAGTCATATTCTTTAACACTCCTCACAGTATTAATACTATGATAATGCGTACTGTATACTTTCTGTGTCATGGAGCGAGACTTCCGGAATTAAGTGGCGCCGCAAGCCACGTCAGTCCTCAAGTGGGCGATACGCCTCTGGCGCTGAAAACGTGGCAAACCTGGCGTTGCACCCACCAATGGCGCCTAGGCTATCTAAGATCGAGCGAAGAGAGCTCCAAGACATCATCATAAGTAAGTTGCAGGGCACAGAGAATATCAAAGATGGCGAAATAGCCAAGAATATTATACCCTGCACCACTCGATCCGTCCGCAACGCTCGCTCAAACATTCTCCAATATGGCACGATCGACGCCCCATCGAAGCCTCTCGGTCGACGGAGCAAAATCACGGAAAACATGTGGCTTGCTATAGAGGATCGACTCAAAAGTTATCCCAACACAAGCCAGACAGCCTTAGCAGATTTTCTATCAAAAGAGTATAAAGTTCGAATATCGAGAGCCACCGTCGGCAGAGCTATAAAGCGACAAAAATGGACAAAGAAAGTCATGACTACCATCGCCAAAGAGCGTAACCAAGATCTACGAGACGATTATATAAATAGACGAGCCCATTTTGACCCTAAGCAAATGATTTTTGTTGATGAAAGCGGAGATGATCGCAGCATAGCGATACCAAAGTTAGGATATGCTCCAAAGGGCGTAACTCCAAAGCAGATCAAGCGTTTCCATAGAGGAAAAAGGGTTTCTTTCCTGCCAGCATACACCATAGATGGCATTATCTACTCTGAGGTATATGAGGGCTATACAGATGTTCATCTATTCGAAACATTTCTTGAACGGCTATTACCGTACTGTGGCAGATTCCCAGAGCCGAAATCCGTGGTGTTTATGGATAATGCCTCCTTCCATAATATTTCCACAGAGGTAAAAGAAAAGTTCGCTAAAGCAGGTGTATTGATTGAAAAGCAATCGCCGTATTCACCAGATTTGAACCCAATTGAGTACTACTTCGGCGCGCTTAAGAACCATGTTAGAAGCCGAGTATTAGAGGATGCAGACCTCATCGGCAGCGATTTCAAGTCATATATACAAATGCAGATCAAACTTGTAGGGCAAGGTCAAAAGGGCAGAAGAATGGCCAAAGGGCACTTTAGAAAAGCACAAATTTATATTAAGTAGCCATTATTTAGAAGGGAATAGTTGGAATGCTGTAGACGCTGCTTATCGCAATAATATAACACTATCTAGTCTCAAAGCCAAACGCCACATACTGATCTAAAAGTCCCATTTTCAAGAATAAAGCCATTTAAGATTATAAACTAATACGTATGCCACGCAGATTTTATCGCGTGTTCTTTGCTTGCTGCCGCTGTTTATGAAACGATCTTATATCAGACACATATCGCCACGCGAATCCTTTCGGTACTTCATGCTCCACAAAGAAGTTAAACATCATTTTCTGGTTGCTGACGATCATGTCGAGATCAACTCCGTGATGTAAACTTAAATGCTGCATCTGCTCGTAAAATCCTTTTTGCTCCTCGCTTACTTGGCATCGCTGCCATACACTGTAGGCTCTGATTAAATCTTCCCTACGCTCGTCGAAACCCATCAGCGGTGACGTCGGGAAGACCAATTCGGGAGTGGAAGCAGGACCTTCTGTATCACACAGCTGAGAATGGCAATGAATAGTCATCGCACCATCGGAATCCCGTCGCCTTCGCTTGCGACGTCGCTCCTTCTCTTGCTCCTCCTCTTCCCTCGCTTTTCGATCTCGCTCGTCGTCTAATACTAGCCGACGAAAGGTCTCTGGAACATCGTCATGCCCATTCCAAGGCTTTCCTGCCTGTAGGTGATCGGCAAGCATTCTGATATGATGGGGATGAAGCGGAATATGTCTGCCCTGATACTGCCAGCAGTGGTCACCTTTTGTACACGGCAGGCCAGGGCAACGCATAAGAAGGTATGCCTTTCTGATGCATGCTCCGCGGCTAAGAACGGTCCCGTCTCCAATCCTAGCTTCTATCTCCCCTTGCTGTTCCGCCGTTGCTGCCGCCTTGGTGGGCTTGTTAGTGTCAATATACGTGTAATAGAACGTAATAGTAAGAGTTGTAACATTTCGATGATTGCTCTTATTAGGTAGCTTATTCCATTTCTGAAGCTGTTCCTTGACAAATGGCCAATCAACATCAAGTTCTTCGAAACTCCTCGTGATAGGGGGAGTGCTACGACGAGTGGTGGAAAGCACAATTTTCGTCTCGTTTGTCTGGCAAGGCTTCTTTGCTGTCTCTTTGGCTAATTTCGGTTCTAGCACACTCCGCCAGAACTTTCGTGGCGACCCTACAATGCCTAATTCTGATTGGCCTGCACGTCTCCTACTGTTTATAGATAATTTCCATTCGACATTATATGGTATCGAGAGTTCTGGTTCTTCTTCGTCCGACGTATGCAGATCCTCGGCAGCGGGGGGCATATGGGCAGGGGCTTTCCCTGCAGGTCTCAGGCGGCTCTTTGAGACTGGCGCTGTTAGCGGAGAGTCATCACTATCAGAGGGAAGGATATGGCAGCTTTGAGAGTCGCTGGCATCATCATCACTTGGCCAATTATCACTTTGACTCATGGCTGCTGTTGCATTCTAAGGCGATTCTCGTCGCTTCTAAAGTTCGCTCGCAGAGCAACAATGTATGGCACTATATTTCCATCGCTTTCCGTTGCTTTCCATTTCCCGCTCTACCATGCAATCACGTGAGCAAGTCATTGCCGTGAATGCCATCAAAGTCTGTACCCAGTACTGCTTCTGAAAGGTCATTTACGAAGCTATTCACGATTTAAAGATCCGTTCAATAATGCAGTGAGACCCCCTATCTCTTGTATTGGTAGACTATACAGCCCCAATCTGTGGCGGCAATCTGCCTTATTAGAATAGATAAATATTCCTTTGTTTAAGCGAAAGTCACGTTATATAAAGCACAGCAGGGGCAAGGTTTAGCGTCCGCATTTTATGTTCTTGCCGAACGTGGCTTAACATAGCGTATATAGCTAGCTACCGCGTATTTCATTCACTGCGTATGATGGCCTAACGCGAAATAAATCATGGAAATGAAGGTACGGGCACGCGGTAGTAGTCATTGTTGCCCAAGACCTGGCGCTCCTTAACGGCAAGATGCCTACTATTCCAATGGCTCCACGCGCGAGTTTTCGCGAGGTTCTATTGGCAGCCAAGTGGCTGCGGCTGCTGCAGCTAAACCTGTGGTCACTGCCTCAGCCTCCTGCCTCCAGCACAATATCCGTGTGTCGAGGTTGGGCATCAACTCTACCTCGCCATCATCTCCACTGTCGCGATTTCATTAATTTTTCACGCTTGTCTAATAATCTGGCTAAGGCCCTCTACCGAACGTTGAGCCACAGCAAGTCACTCCGACCACTTTTCAAGCAAATTCGGATATCACTCCTAGCTGTACCACAGAGCCATATGCTCCATCTTCCATCCCTCGCGTCACCCCTCTTGCCGAGCCAGTCCCAGGGCTGAAAGAGCACCAAGCCATAGAGCTTAGTCTGTCAACTACGATGAATGCAACGGCGTCACACCCGCGCGATATTGCCAATAATCATTTCGGTAATAATGTCAGAATCCACCAAGGCGACGTATACCACTACTCGCCCGATCAGATAGATCGCTGCCTAGCGGATTTGCGACCGACCGATCCCCGCCTTGATAAAACCCGCATCCAGCAAACAAAGGGCGGCTTGCTCAAAAGTTCATACTACTGGATTTTTAAAAACGAAAATTTCAAGCAGTGGCGCGATAATAAACAACATCAATTGCTCTGGATTAAGGGCGATCCCGGAAAGGGCAAAACTATGTTGCTCTGCGGCATTATTGACGAATTGATGCCAACAACGAAGCTGATGGATCAGTCCGCCAACACAGTGCTATCCTACTTTTTTTGCCAAGGCACTGACTCACGCATCAATAACGCAACTGCTGTACTGCGTGGTCTTGTTTACCTTCTTATTGATCAGCAGCCTTCGCTTATCTCGCATTTGCAGAAGAAGTATAATCATGCAGGCAAAGATCTCTTCTTGGATAAAAATGCCTGGGTAGCCTTATCCGAGATATTTGCAACTATCCTAAGGGATTTAAGAACAAAGACTATAATTTTCATTATTGACGCACTGGACGAATGCGAAGATGACTTGCGTGAGCTCTTAGCTATTATTATCCAGCACTCGTCGTTACCCTACGTTAAATGGATTGTATCTAGTCGGAATAGGGCTGACATTCAGCAACAGCTTGACTCTCATATATCACAGGGAATCCTCAGCCTTGAGCTGAAAGAAAATGCAAAACTTGTGTCTCAGGCTGTTGATGCATATATTAATAATAATGTATCGCAGCTGCACTCAATACAAGATAATCAAGATCTCAAGGATAAACTGCAAGCGTTAATGCGAGAAAAGGCCAATGGAACATTCCTATGGGTATCTCTCATTCTAAAAGAGCTTGAAAAGGCCGAAAGCTGGGAGCTAATGGAGGTACTCAATGAAATGCCAACAGACTTGACAGCAGTCTATGAACGGATGCTGAGGCAGATCAAACATCTAGAACGAAGAAACCCAGAGTTTTGTCAAAATATACTATCAACAGTGTTTACAGCATATCGTCCGCTCAGCCTCACCGAGCTAGGAATGCTCTCTAGCTTACCTGACGAGATTTCAGCGAACTTTAAGTCTATAAGAAAGCTGATAACAATGTGTGGCTCATTTCTCACAATACGCGACGGGAGCGTCTACTTTATCCATCAATCGGCGAAGGACTTCTTATCTCAAGCAGGGTCCCAGTATAATATTTCTGAAAGGCATCTTAATATCTACAAGCAGTCAATTGCAGCTATGTCAAAACTACATCAAAACATCTATGCCCTTCCAGACTTCGGGCTCAGACCAAAGGATGCACAACCACCTGATCCAGACCCATTGGCTCCAATGAGATACTCCTGCCTCTTTTGGGCCGACCATCTCTACGACGCCTCCAAGGCTAAGAATGAACTGGCAGATGAGGAGGCAGTATGGCTATTTTTGAAGGATCATGTGCTGCATTGGCTGGAGAGCCTGTCTCTCATTGGAAGACTTCCGGACAGCGTACGTTCTGTAAGGAAGATTCTACAAGAGGTATGTGCTTTGAGGCTACTACTAGATACAAATACTAAACGCTACTAGTTACAATCGAGTATAAGTCCTCAGCTTATTGGATTCTTGAAAGATGTAGAGAAGTTCATACTTAGTTACGGGTCGATTATAGACCGGGCACCCTTGCAAGCATACGGTTCGGCGCTCGTGTTTAGCCCAAGATTAAGCGAGATAAAGAACTGGCAATGGAACGAGAGATTATCATTTATTAAGGAAGTTCATGGCATAAAAGACCGCGACATACATTTACAGACGCTGGAGGGCCATAGCGACTGGGTTCAGGCCGTTGCATTCTCGCCAGACGGCAAGACGCTGGCATCGGCCTCC